CGAACCTGTTAAACAAGTTATTATTATTTTCATCACAAAACATCTAATTCAATGTAATTTAAACAAAGTTTTAACAATTTACAAACAAATATAATTTGACAAACTCTAAAACAAAATATAACTACAAAATTATACATTCATACTACAAGTTTCTTTGAAAAATAACAATCATACAAGTACATACGTTAACAAAATACATATACTAAAAAAACAATAAAAAATATTTAAATTAATATTTAAATTTTAAAATTAAAAAGGATAGATTTACTTATAAAAAATGATAAAATCTACAATAAATTGCTCAAAGAATAAATGTTTTTAACCACGTATAAAAGTATGATAAACTTGAGTGCTTGTGTTGATAAGAGGGGGAGAGTTGGGATGGGTAGTTGGCTGCAATTTGGGAGGAGAGAGTTGGAATGGGAAAGAAAAAGGAGAAATAACGGAAGAGAGAGTCGGCAGAGTGGGTATATATTAGCTTTTACCAATGGAATCACCGATGACATGTTTTCGTCGGTAAGTCCGCTGATGAATGTGTCACGTCACTGTACAGATATCTCAGTTTGAATCCCTCGGTCATTCCATCAATAACATCATCTGAAAAAAATCCAGATCATTACACCGTTGTAACTTTTCAAAAATCTATATAATCCGCTAGCAATATGATTGGTATATACCGACAAAATACATCTGTTAGTATATACTGATAGTATTGCAGATGAAAATAGTCTATCGATATATACCAACAGAATTAGAAATATAATTATTTTCATCGGTAAAAATTACCAATAAAAAAATTTCATTGGTAATTCCGTTGGTTTTTACTGATATGTTTTGTAGTAAATTAAGTCCTTACACTTAGTTAAATCATTTTATTTAATCTAAATTAATTCTTAAATATAATTAAACTTTTAACTTGGCCCATAATTCATTTTGACATTGCAGAGTCTAGCTTTTGAATTAATTTCAACCAAACCACAATGGAGATCTATTATGATTCCTCTGTTACTAGTATCATACTAATAACATTTAAATAAAAATACTCTATTTTACTTGTTATGATATTACAATTCAATGAATTCTTCAAACTTCCCATAATAGTCAACTTCAAACTCATTAAAAGTTGATTTCTTAATGCAAACCTAATTATTATGTCTTTTCACATTGCCTATATTCTTCAATATAAAACATATTTCCATTAATGAAATAGTCATGATAACATTTTACCTTTTTTTCAAGACCCAGACTATATAAAGATAAAGTTATATTAGCATTCTTAATGAATAAAATTGGTGTATGAAGTACAACCATGAACAATTAGCAAGAAATGTATAATAAATTTTAGAATCCCAAGAGAAAAGAGTAATTAAACAGTACTTACAATATTATTCATCATATAATCAAAAAATTTAGGATTCAGTCACTTATGAGTTTTATGATAGTAAATATTGATGATATTGCTTATGAGGAATTTAATAATGCATTAGTTTATGATATTTTAAGAGATAAATTGTTCAAAATTAATGACATGCTAAGTAGTATACTTACTGAATAAAAGGTCTTGGTTTATCATAGTTAAATAGCACATAATTATATGCTTGTATGAATTCTATTTCTAACAAATATCTCTACCTCGTAACATTGTTTATATGAGGCGTCCAGGAAGAGAGAATATTGATAAGTTCTCACTCGAAAGCACTTTTCTACCATTTTCATGCCTTGGAACGCCATTGATTCATATTCTCAATTGAGGCTTGAAATAATACGAGATAAATATTAAAATATCTTCAATAATGTAGGTCTCCATATTGAAACCTCAATATATACCTTGTTTTTTTTTTCTTTGATTAAGTTTAAACGAGTATCTACATGAAATTAAATTAATGTTTTGAAATATGCAAAGAAAGTCAATAAAAGAATTTTAATTTTATAAAAGGATTCAAGAAAACAAATTAGCAATTAAAAGAATAAGGATCAAATTTAAAACATATAATAAATTTTATTTTTATTGAAGGATGAAATTGAAAAGAAAATTAATTTAATAAAAGGACCCCAAAAAACCAAAAGAATGAGAAAAAAATTAAAATATAAAAATATAAATAAATTTTTTTATTAAAGTTTGAAATTGAAAAAAAAATCAATTTAACAAAAAACCTAAAAAAACTATCAAACGAATAAGAATCAAATTAAAAAAAAAACATATATCCCAAATTGAAATTGAATGATGAAATTCAAAATATATTAGATTTTACAAAAGGATTAACAACAAAAATCAAAAGAATAAAGATTTAAATAAAAATCCTTATAAATTAGAGAATAACTCTTAAATTTTACATAATCAATATGAATCTCAAAGGTAAAAAATAGAAAATAGAGGGGAAAGTGTTGCCAATAACAAATCATGCTACCAAGGATAACATGTGGCATTCCATATAAAATAGAGCATATAGGCACTTCTAATAACATATTTGAAGGGGGATTATGGCAACCAGGAGGAGGTATCGTAAGTGCCACCTGAAGGACACGAGTGTCTATTATATGCTAGTGTATGCCATTTGATAAAATACTAGATTTCTTCAGCTGACCTGATAATTATGAAATAAAAATATTATAAAAAGGATAAAAATGTCATTTAATGCTATTTTTAATTTTTTTTACTTTTAAATGTATTTTGATCATTTTACAATGTTTTTATGTTTTTGCATTTGGTCAAATAATAAATTGTCTATTAACGCTAATTTTAATTTAAAAAAAAAATATTTTGATCATTTTATTGTGATTTTAAAATAAAAAAATATTTATTTGCCACTGGTTAATTTGATAATGACTAATGAACCTTTTGAAAAAACATATATATCTGTGTGTATGCACGCGTACGCGCGATCATAATTCAATAACATTGTGAAAATATTCTTACTTAATCTGAGCCATTATTATTGGTCCTATTACAAAACAAAAATAAAAATTTAAGAAAATAAATTTTAGTATGTTATTCTTTTTTTCTACGCATGTATAATCAAAGAAGATAATAGAATAATGTTATATATATATATATATAGAAAGTAATTTTAGTTCTACATCTGTTACTTATATTCACTGGTTAAGATCATATTACTTGAATAGATTTGATGTGATTTAGAATACTTGTAATTGTAAGGATGAATTGGGTATGAAATTTTTAAGGGATTGAATTATATTCAGTCATGTGTAATTAAAAATACTTGGGGTATATTAGTACACTTTAAGGCATAATTAATTATGAGGTTAATGTCTCCTATATGACCTGTATTAGGTTTATATATTGGAGCTCTTTTCACTATGTGCTTTAGGTTGCATAGTCTGTTCGTCAAGTATAAAATTTTTATGCAAGTTTAAGTATAATGTATTATAGAGATTTAGTTTTTTATGGGCAAGTGAAAGATGTTGGTTATTGGGTTAGACCTAGTCCGTCCATGATGGATAGGCCTAGTCTAAGTTATTAGAGGAGTTACTAAAAGAAGTAACTGTCTCCTCTAATCATATATAAAGGGACATAACCCATATAAAATAAGATAAGTTTTCATTATTGAAAGAATATAGTTCTCTCTTTCTTCTCCCTTCTTGACTCTCTACATTGACTTGACAAAATTTGATGTTCATACTATGAAATATCAATTTGATTCTAGTAATTGAAATGAAATTGAAGTAATTAGTCTAGAAATAAGAAAGTTAAATCTTATAATCAAGTTTTCCTTTTCGATCTATATTGGTGTGTGTCTAAGGCAACATATATATGATAATATAGAATATATTACACATAATAACTCAATGTAGAAAAATTACAATACTTCTTATAATATAACTCATTCCATATTACGTATTTATCCAAAACTCTATATATTCTTGAATTATAAATTTTAAAAATATTAAAAGACACAAAGAAAAAAATTAGAGTTTGTAAGATTTTAACTATCAAAATGATCAAATAAAATGAAACAACTAAAAATTCTAAAAGAATCGATAGCTAGGAGGTAGGGAATTTTTATTTTTTTTGTGAATCCAGATATGATTGTTTCTCTCTTCAAAAATGGGTTCATGGAATAACAATCAATAATTACTCCTAAAGAATTGCAAAACTTCTGGCTAGCTCGAGCACAGATCTTTCTTGTTTACTTTTGTAAAATTATTTTATCAAATAAATTTGTTGATTCAATCATTGCATATATATACGCTATACCCATTCTATCCATCATTCTTAATCTGCTTTCAAAGAACACAAATACAGTGCTTTGGAACTAAGAAGCAACTCTGTCTGTGTGGGTATCCAATCAACTGAACTGTGCTGGTGGTTGGCGGTGTCAACTAACACACGTCATGCACACTTGACCAAACTACGCTAGTTTTTGTCAACACAGACCATGCGGATGAACAACCAGTCCAACTAGTTCACTACCAGATCAAGCTAATAGTGAGAGTACTACTTATTCAACTCTGCACTCCATTTCGCTCTCCCTTCGAGCCCTTTTTTATCACTGAGCTGGTGTTAATTTCATGCTTTTGTCATCACTATCTGTAGTTGTTCTAGCTAGGGTATAGTTCAATGAGGAAGCCTTGCTGTGACAAGCAACACACAAACAAGGGAGCATGGTCCCAGCAAGAAGACCAGAAGCTCATTGATTACATACAGAAGCACGGTGAGGGTTGTTGGCGCTCGCTCCCTCAGGCTGCAGGTGGGTTTTGCTCACCTTATTTTACTAGGAATCTGTTAACTTACAGAAGCTCGTGCATGCCATGAGAGTGGAATATTTATCATTTTTTTTCAAGGAAAATAATATTGATTAATGGACTCTTCGTTTTGGCTTTTTTCCTTCAATGATTCATTAGGGTTGCTTCGTTGTGGCAAAAGTTGTCGGCTGAGATGGAGAAACTATTTGAGGCCTGACCTGAAAAGAGATGGATTTGGAGAAGATGAAGAGGATTTGATAATCAGGCTCCATGCACTGCTTGGCAACCGGTAATGATCAAATCATGTGCTCTTTAATTAGTATGCTATTTCTGGGCAGCTCATCCAGATCCCATGCATACAAGTTTTACAAAAATATGAGAGAACTAATCGGCGTGCACTCGAGTGAAACATGCCTGGTTATGTCAACAAGCCTTGATAATCATCCATAAACCAAATCAAATAAGATATGAATACCCATTATTGTTGTATTGCAGTAGAGAACTATATAAATTAATAGTAAGACTTGATATATGAAAAATTGAAGAGAATTAAACGGAGATTTTTTTTTCTATTTTGTTAATCTCAGTCCATAATTAATCTCCTTTATCATATACATGGACCAAAATACCTCTATTCAATTTTTTTCATAAGTGGTGATAAAATGATTATAATTAATTTTATTTTCAAAAAATTTGGTATTATAT